ATCATCGATTTAAGCCTTTATCTAGTGTCTCCACAATTCGTATGTGTATTTTATACAATATTGATTTGTAATATTAGAGTTTTGAAAACCTGTAGAAATTCCAAAAAATTATGTGAATCTCTGATATAGATTTATTTGAACTTGTTACAGATATGGCGAGCATAATACTGATAGCTTGCCTAGCTATACTCGGCTTAATTATTGCGATAGCCCTATTTTTGGCCGGTGGATATCTGTGGTGGCGGCACAAAAGGTCACAGCTGCAGTTTATTGAACCCAATGAAGACGAGGAATCAAGTAGCTACAGCTTGAGGTAAGGTTATATTCGCAAAACTGATAGTTTACTACTTTGTCGTTCTTCTGAATTGAAAGTTTAAATGGGTTAAACCGCGTCTACGACTGACTCCAGATTACATATTAGATTCAATTCTAGCTCAAAGTATTATACTTTTGATAATATTTATAACTGATTTATTGTTATAGAAGAAATGACCATGGCATCGTCCACAAATGCCCCCAATGATGATATAATCATTTCTGTTTTATAATTTAACATACAAGTATGAGCTACACTTGCAACTGAAATTACGAGCTGACATCTGGAAGCTTTAAGTCCATTTTTAGCCAAGAGATGTAGCTAAATAATTTAGGGTCGATAAGTAACTGACAGCTTCATTGGGAGAGAATATAGCCAAATAGTATTTTTGCTAAGCCCTGCTGGATAGGGTAAAATATTCCACGAGAAAGTTTGGTTTATTAAGAGAGTTCTTTGAAGTTCAATATTTTAATGGTCACGTATTCCTTATAATGAGTATAATAATATATTTTCAGAAACAATGACAAATTATACTGATCAATGTACATATTTTTACACATACATAAACTAATGGTATTATTTTCTATTTAGAGCTGCTCAGGACATTTTAGAATCTGGGAATCCGCCTAGTAAGCCTCAAGTGCCCGTTGCCCAGGCAATTACGAATCCTCTACAAAATAACATTAATCGAAAATTGAATGGATTTTTAAACCTGCGAACGCCTCTCATTGGGTAGGTACAGAAATATATTTATATACCGGGGACTAGTTAGTAATATCTCATATAAAGAAAAGAAGTACTTCAAAAACCTATTAAAATATAAATCATAGCAAAACATGGCAAAAAACATGTAAGATCGTTGCAGTCGGGCGTTACCGACTGAGGAATACTCATTTACATCCCATCAGCAATTTAGTAGCTAACTTTAGCTCTAATATTGTAGAAACTGCAGTTTTCTCGGTTTGCCACGCCCTTACTAGGCGTAGACACCTCATTTTTCGTCAGTTCATAGAACTAGCTAACTGTAATCTAATTGCAAAATTTGGACGCTCAAAAAATGTGAAAATTACAGGGTATTTTTCGATATGCCACGCCCCTAAAGAGGCGTACAAATTGTTTTTGGGTCATCGATAGAGGAGGTTACTGGTAACGTAACTATCTTTTGAAGCATCTAGCTATTACACCTAAAGAGATATATACTTTTACGGTTTGCCACGCCCCCTGTGGGCAAACATATATTCGAGAAGTTTTTTGGTTTTGGGTGATCAGCCCGAGTATATATACAAAATTTGAGGTCTCTGGCATCAATAGTGTCTAAAATATAGCAGAATTTAAAATATCCCTATATCTTCAGGTCTGATTTGCCACGCCCCTAATGGGCGTAGACACATAATTTTGTCTTAAGACTTTATAGAATCAAAACATTAGCTGACGTCCGAAATTTTAGCGCTCTAGCTGTAAAAGTCTTGGAGATACAGTTTTATCTAATTTGCCACGCCCCCAATGGACGTAGATATATCCGCCATAGTTCGTGATCTTGGGTGGTCGATGCAGATCTACATTCCAAATTTCAGCTTTCTAGCTCTTCAATTAATATGATTTCTGGCATATTGAAAAATTCATTTTCCAATTCTCCACGCCCCTAGTGGGCGGATCGGGAAAATTTTAACACTATAAATCGGAGATATACATGAGTATGTGTTCCAAATTTCAGTCTCTGGCTTCAATAGCGCCGAAATAAACTGCGTTCATACGGACAGACGGACGGACATCAAGACGGACATTGCACAAAATCTAATTCACTTTCGTGAATGAGTATAATAGATCTAAGTTCTTCCATCCTGAAACATATGTACGTTTTTCAACATTTGTAGCATGACTAAAAGGATCGTCTTGATAAATCATATATGTCTGGTTGTATATCGTCATTGATATTCAAATGTTTTATATATGTACTAGCTAACCTGGCAAACGTTGCTTTGCCCTATCCATTATTTCTAGGCAACATTTTGTACTTAAATACAAAATATCTCATTAACTATAAGTGTGTGGAGATGCAGTTATAGTCGAAACCGTTGTAAGCAACCGAAGTATGTTTTATCTTATATATAAAATTCTCGTGTCACGGTGTTTGTTGCCAAACTCCTCCGAAACGGTTGGATTCTCACGAAATTTTGTGTGCAGGTCGGGTAAGTCTGAACAAATCATTGTGCTCATTGAAGAGAGCGTCCAGTTCGCTGACGATGCGCGTTGCAAAAGGTGAATTGAAGTGATTATAGTTGCAACGGGCATCCGCGCGATTGGTTCGTTTGGCATTGGTAGCAGTTAACCGACTTTGTGGTAAACTTGGCCTTTGAATTTAAATGTGGAATTAAATTGTTGACCATTTGCAGCAGTATTTTCAACTATATCCGTTGCTCCAAACGATGTCATTTGAAAACAAGAATTCAATTTTCGCATTGACTGCAAAAACAGCGAAGAATCTGGATCAGTTCCAATAAGGAGCCATGCAATGGTTCCGGCGGGGTTTCAATTTCTGGGAGTTTTACTTTTCCTGATGAGCAGCACATCCCGATCGGCTCATTTTTAAATTTAAGGGCATGGCAGTGCGGGCATTCCTTGTCCAATGTACCAATGACCACTTTGGAATGTGCTGTAAATGCTCGATTTACTTGTTGACGTTGTCGGTCAATTCCTCTACGGCTGTTGACTACGAACCTGCGCGCTTATTGGCTTCGCTCTAATTGGCTTTNCTGGTTTCGCTCATCTCGTGCCTCTTGCAATTGTGATGCACGTAACTGAGTCATGCTTACACGGACATCTGCATTGCTTTGTTGCCTTTCTTCATCTGATCTTTGTGCTGTTCTGTCCTGCATGCCTCTAGATCAATTTTCTCATTTTGCCCCCTTGCGTTTTCGTGGCATTGTTGTCTGCTAATCAAACATAAATTAATCAAGTTGAAAAACTGTTTGGTGATAAACAGTAACATAATATTGTATTCGATTGCTCACTATTTGCCTTACCTTTTATATGTACTAATAAAACACGAATATTTATTAATCACGTTCGGGTTCGCTGGGAAAGATTAGATCTTCTAGGACGCGGCATTTTTATTATACCCTGAACCCATTGAAAATGGGAAATCAGGGTACACAGGTTTTGAAAAAAAGTATGTAACGGGCAGAAGGACGAATAAATTCGCATAATATTGCCCACACTGATGATGATGATTAGAATATCAGCTTAGAGGGTTCAAGGTATCTCCTAGTYGAGCAGTCTCGACTAGAGCTTTCTTAAGGGGGCTATCCACAGACGAATTTGTTACACGAACATGTTGTGTTCGTTCTATATTCGAATGTGGATAGCAGTGCTCGTACGAATGTTTCTATCTTACGGTTGTTCGTGCAACATGTTCGACAATGGATTCGAGTGCTCCCATAAACATAATTTCTAGAAATATTTTGGACAGTCAACATAGGCCAAAATGAACCGAAAATTTCTTGATTGATTTGAAAATGAGCAGGCTTTGTGGCAAAATAAAAGCGAAAACTATCAAAATAAAAAGTTGCACAATAAATCATGGGACGAATTATAATTAAAATATAAGGATGTCCAAGAAAACGCAAAGCAAAAGTAAATTGTCTGCACGCTACATACAGGTGGGAACTGGATAAAATAAAAAGAAGCACAAAGTCAGGTGCTTTCTTTTGTTTTAAACAAACACTCATTGCCATTAAGTACTTGTTATTAATAGTAATACTGAATATGTACTCGCATGAAAGTTTTAAATGAGAGCATGCCCGAAAACTGTCACTGATATCAAGCCTACTAAGAATATTCTAAATGACAATGCAAAGACAGCTCCGAAATTAAAGAACTTTTAGGGATAACGTGTTTTTCAAGTATTCGTCGATTTTCAGTGTTTTTAAGATATATTCTGCAATTCGGGGCAGAGACAAATCCAAAAAATTAAAAACCATTAAAATTGGTCCAGCAGATCTCGACTTGTAACAAACCTGACTTTGCTTTATATATATAGTTTATAGACCACATATGTAATATATATATAACGACCGAAATTCATTATAGGAGCGGCCCAGCAGCGACACCAGCAAAATCGAATACTTCCACAGGAGCAACTGCAAATGATGGAACATCTAAAGATGGAGCGGTGTGTATCCTATATGTATACCTATATATATAAATAATATATACTTTTTTACATAAATATTAAGTGATAAATAATTTGACTTTGAATTACGAGTCTATAGGGTGGTCAAAAATATATCAAAATATAAATATATCGTTATTTTTGTATAAAAAATATAATTATATCGAAACATTTTTAAAAACTATATATCGATTTTTATACCCTGAACCCATTTTCAATGGGAAATCAGGGTATAATGGTTTTGTTGAAATGTATGTAACAGGCAGAAGGAGGCGTGGCAG